AGTAAGTCACGAAGACAGTATTTTGCACGCTTGCAGCTGCTCCGTTCGCAGAAAACAGTTCAGGGGAGCATCCCACGTAGGAAAACTCCTTTGATATTTGGAGTGTTCATGGTCTTGGGACCAGGGGACGGATCATGTATATGCAGGGACTCAAAGCAAATCATGGTAAGTCACAATCAAGGAGTGGTGAAAACACTGAAGGTCTAACGGCGTTTTATTGTTTGCAATACCCATAAGCGCAGCATTTAATTACACAAAACCTGAGCGGGACCCACCACTCGCGCCTCCGACTGCTGGGCCTATTTATCTCTTCATGGCACGCCCCCAAGCTCACATCGGATCTTAGTTCAAATACACCAGCGGCCTTCGTCCATGGTCACCCAGCTCGCGCTGGGCAGACCTCCGGTGGCGGCTGAAAACCGGCCACACCGCCCTCAGCCCGCTCACCCGTCCGTGGGCCACACAATCAGCCGATTCGGCGAACGGCGGCGACCGTCGCAGCGCTGGGAACCGGTCCACTCGGAGCGTGTTTACCTGGCGACGGCGTCGGCAGCGCCCGCGTCACAGCCACGACACGCGCCGCCGCGTTACCATGGCAACCATTCAACAGCGGACAATGCGTGTCGACGCGCATGGACCGGCGGCATTGCCTCGCTCTTTGTACAGTGACGCTGTCGGCGTACACAGAGGCAGGGACCCTGGCTGTGCGTTTGTCACGTGGCCTTGGCGCCAATTATGGATGGAAAGGTTGTCAGGTGAATTAGTGCAGCTGCTTGCTCTGGGTAAGACGTGAGCAAGCATAAAACTCAGAAGTTCATGCCAAGGTTTGCGGGTCGTAATGCTTTAAACTGCCGTTCGTGTGAAGGCTGTGGGAGATTTTTTGTGAGCAACTTTCCCACTCTATTATTCTTGTCATTCAGCTGGCTTTCATAATGATGGAAATATTTACCATGGTCTCTGCATGGAGTAGCGTGAACATGTCCACTAGACGGGAGAGAGGAAGCATTGCGCTCCCTCAAGTTTGAGTCCTGCTAAATTACATAGAGCCTTTTGATTGGAGGGATACCTGGGATCAGCGCCCAAGCTAAGCAGAGCGCACTGTGTGAGGTCACCCTGCCCAACCAGCTGCCACCATATCGTAAAATTCCGGGACGGTGGCAGAATTTGGCAGCGGAATTTAAATGTGCCGCAAATTGTCCAATGGTCCGTCCTGCACTCTTAAGTCACGTGATGTTTACAGCAGCTGCAGCCACCGAACGCAGGTCAACCCAGTCAGGGGCAAATAGCGAGTGCTTAAAGCGGCTCGGACCCACCCCGCCGCGATTGGGCGAATCGAAAGTCAGTCGCTGTGACCAAGTTACCAACTATCTGGACAAAGGCATTACCGGAAAGATTGTGAAAACAGTTTGTGTCCAAGACGATAGTAATGCATACTAGACACGTGACATATGTATCTGTAACCATACTAGACACATGACATATGTAACTGTAACCATACATTTCATGGTGTTCGGAACGCTGGGTGTTGGAAGAAGTTGGAACTCATGAAATGGTCTTCGTACTTTGTTACACTGCCCACTTTCTCGAACACGGTGAGTTCACTATTTTTCCAAATGCGTGGCTATTATGACCAGGAATGGTCCATGCACACGCCCATGGCCCACTTGCCATCGGATTTTCCACCATAGAAATTTATGCACAGCCTACAATGTGTTCAAGGGAGAGAATGATAATGGTAGCCTTTTGTTTTGGTGACATAGCAAGCCTTTACATGACAACTGGGCGCAATGGACCTTATTGAAACGCCAAATGAACAATCTCATATCTCCCAGTTCACTTATGAGTTTCTGCTGCTTGCCGCATTACTCAGGTACAAACTATTTTTTACGTCTGATGTTCAGAAGTGTTAGGACTGGGTCATGACCAGGAGGTCCTGTCTCTCCTGGATCTCATATCTCCCAGTTCACTTATGAGTTTGTGTTGCTTGCCGCATTACTCAGGTACAAACTATTTTTTACGTCTGATGTTCAGAAGTGTTAAGACTAGGTCAGGACCAGGAGATCCTGTCCTCAGCCATAGCCCAAGTAAATGTGTCAATCAACGATCATAGTGTCAGTGCATGGTACAAGTGTGCATGTTAGTGCAAGTGCATGGCAATAACTGACAGATAAATCAGTTACAACCCTGTATGCCCTGCATTGGTGAACATCGGGACGGGCCATGGTCTGGCGCGAGCTATGGTCTGGGTATGGTCTGGTACGAGCTATGGTCTAGGTATGGTCTGGAGTTGGTCCTCCCAGCTGCTATTCCATGATTTGCTGAAGCAAAGCTGTGATCTGTGAAGTGGATATTTTAGATACGGCAGCTAATAAAACATGTGTCTGGTTATAAAGCAGCCTTGATTTTTCGTCGTACCTGCTGGACTCGGCAGCGTTAAAGGCATTACATATTATTACGGCAGCGTTAAACGCAAACGCAAACGTTAAACGCTGGGCACGGCAGCAGCGGCATTATGTAAAAAGGGGCAATGTGAACGGCTTCCCGTTCAACTGGTGTGGACTTGTTACCACCAAACAACGCCTCTTCGGCGTTGATACCTTGCGAGCTACGATATGCCTTATCTCCTCCAGCTGCTCATTATGGCCAGCATTCCGTCATGCAACGGTGGAACAATTACATGACTTTGCGAGACATGTGGCATATGTGATTTTGGCTTCTGAGCGCAAGCTGTCGAGACAAGTGCACCTCGTGCATTTCGTATGTAAAGTTGTTGACAAAACAAACAAGACGAACGAGGGGTGGTCTGAGGTCGGTAAGTGCCAACATTCACCGGATATTGCCTTCGTTCTTATTACTAAGCGCCCTACATGTATGATATTGTAAGGGTCCAACTTTGTTTATTGCTCGCCATAAGTGTTTGCGTAAGATAGAGAAGCTTGAAACATTGAAACGCAAGTCAAAGGGCTAATGGATGGCTGATCTTACCCGAAATAAGGCAGTCAGAGGTTTGGTGGTGAAAGAAATAATATTAGCTGGACGGCAAAAGACATGTTTAATATGAGCCTTATAAATGATCATGGACACATTTCAATGCGGGGATGTAGATTCCCTCACGTTTTGTTTTACTGTGCTGGAAAATCACGCAGGAATCTAGTGAAAACCATCATACTGAAGGACAGGCACATCAACGACTGGCTTGCGTTACCTCATGTCAATATTATATACATCACAAACTTTTCCCTTACAATTTAACATCCAGTGATATCCCGTACCGATCTGGAGATGTGCATGCATTGCTTTCTGCGGCAATACATTGTCATGTACCAGTTACTAGCACTTGTGCAGGTACAGAAATATATTGCGATTCACTTTTCTGTCTGATTATGCATATTTTACGCCTATAGCCAACAAAGAACCATGTAATCGGGAGCGTCCGAACATGATAGATAAAGTGGTTGGCTGTTCACTAATAGATGTGCCCCGTCTTGCCATTCTTCGACACGAATACAATGCAGAGGTGCTGATGCACTTAACCACCACATTTGACTCGCAGACGAATATACCCACGTAAATTAACGGCTGTATCATGCTCCCATTTACACACGTTTAAGAGTTGGCATCGACTCGCGGCACCGACGGCCACATGCGCCTTCAGTGGCTCGCAGCCGTGAGCCCCGGATATGACCCGACGACGCAGGCATCGATCGGCAGCGCACCTCCCCCTTCCCGGGGGAGAATCCTATAAATAACGTATTAGCAGGGAGGTGGACCCCGTGTTTTGTCTTTGTTTGTTTTTTGCGAGCCGCTCGTGAAGTTTCCTGAATGCTGGCTGTTGCGTCCAAGAACACTGGCTGGAAGTGAAGACGTATGTTGGATCAAACTGACTGAAAACGTCAATAGTCAGGCCACCACTGACTAGAACGGCGTTGGCCGGCCGCGCAAAATGGTTACGAGACTTTGCGCTGCTTAAAAGACGATTGCGGAGACCTTCACGTCGTGTGTCGTTGTAATATGGTCACTAACGGCAATTATGAGCCTAGTAATGCTGAAACTGATGTGTGTCACTGACGAATGGGCGTTTACGGTGCCACTGGCGTATGCTGCAATCCACGATCCAAATATGGTGTTGAAATGTCGTTCGTGCATATAGAGCGGAATGCAGTACAAGCGCGTCGCATTTACGTCGGGCTTATAATTTAGCTGTCGATAGTTGAAACCTTGGTAGCACTGAAGCTCCTTTTCAACTGCGAACTACATGTGAAACGTCCTAATGCATCGCAAGCAGCATAACAATTATCCCAGTAACCATCCTTCTATGATTTGTTATTATCTTCTGTATTGCTTCTGAGATTCGCGGCCAAATACAACTCGCACGCAAGCGCCATGTCATTGGGGTCACACAGCATGGGTGATGACGTCATGCGGTGACGCATGTTCCGCCGTTGACCTTAGCTACCTCATAAACAGCTCTCCATAGGCGAAGGCCCCCTCATTAACTCAGGCGATCGCTCCCAATTATGGCTAGACAAGCATCAAAACCATTCGCGAGAATCAGACCATGACCTACTGACCCATACGGACCAGCGGGCTGTTTTCCAGCGCCGTTAGCATTCAAAGATACTCATATAGATACTCACGAGTATCTATATGACTGGACATTATCGCTTAATTGTTAAGCGTTGATTTATGTTTGGAGAAAAGAAGCTCTGTACTTTCGAACTGACATCTGGTTTTATATTCCATCGATAGATGTCTTCTGGTTCTATATGCCATCAGGGATCGATGCGTCTTGAGACACGTATGTGTGGCTTGAGACGCATTCGATCCTGATCATGAACGACGCAACTTGGAATAGTCAACAGGTAATTTACCAGGAGGTGCTAACCGCACGAAGCTACCAAGCAGCCAGAGGAAATGTTGTCAGTGCAATGGACATTGGAAGGCATTGGTGATCTGATACTTGCTACGATGAGCATTGCCTTGAGACGCCGATTAGTATGATGATATTTCCCAATGGCTGCTTGGTACGTTCGTTTAGGCACCACCTCCTGGAATATAGAAGGTCGTTTTTCAACACGAGAAATCATAATGCCGAAAAATGGGGCTTCACGCTTGTTTTGATGATATAGAACCTACTTGTATTAAGCATAACCTCCTTACGACTTTTAACATTTCATTTATTTTTATCGTGCTTGCTGGTTAGCTCAGAGCACATTCAGGTGATAAGGCTGTGGAATTAGCCTCGTATTAAGCTGTAACACAATTATTTGAAGCAATGCGTACATTCCAGTTAGACCAAAGAACAGGTGCTCATCATATCGGTCTTCGTATCACTGAATCCCTAACCCTACATCGGTCACGTTCAAAACACGCCTGTTCCGTTGCCTGTCCGTACCGCGCTGCTACGTAACTCTTACAGATAGCTTCCGCTTCCTGTCCAAACCAGTCGTGTCCCTGCTCTGCGACCGCGCCCCTGAGACTGCACCCTGTGAAAGCACCCTTACGACTGTACCGCTGCGCTCTACCCCTGTGACTTCACCCCTGTGACCGCACCCCTGTGAGGGCACCCCTGTGAGTGCACCCCTGTGGCTGCACCCTTGCGACCGCTCCCTGTGACTGCAGCCCTACGACTGCACCGCTATAACTGCACTCCTGTGTCACGGAGTGCAGTCACAGGTCACCGCTGCGCCGCTGACCGTACCCGGCTCCGGCAGGACGGGCGGACCGGCGCTGCACCTGAGCGCGGCTGCGCCCGACGCGCGCGCCACCTACGACCTGCTCGTGCGTGCCGGCGCGGACGCGAAGACGCGGGACCGGCGCGGTCGACCTGCCCAGTACTACCTGGAGCACCCGGACGACCTGGCGCTGCCCACCAAGGCAGAGCCGACCCGGAACCGACAGCGGCAGCGCCGCACGCCGCCGAAGGACCACGTGCGCCAGAGAAAACGCGGCGACAGTGGCGCCACCGCCGCCGCCAAGCGTGAGTTCGCCGACGTCCGTCGGACGGCGCTACAGTCGCTGCTGGGAGGGTCTCTGCCGTCGAAGCGGTGGCATGTGCGGAGACGAGCGAGCGGTTGTACAGATGCTTGCGAGTGTTCCTACGTGGGGGATGATTCACTCGCAGTGTCTACGCAGCGTAGTGCGACAGGCAGCGTGTCGTCTACGCAGTTGCATTTTTATGCGCCAACGCTCATGTACCATGTGTGGTTGATGCCATGGGAACCGCATCGATTGACTGAATGTTTCCTGGGGACGACCGCTTTCCCATTGATTTAACAAGAAACCCTAAGGTGGTGGAACAAACTCCTTGCAGAGCTCAGTCCGTTATGTCCACCATGTCCAAAGCATAATGCAAACACCGACTGATCTAGAGAGCAGACTACGGTAGTCAATACCGCTCTCAGTCAGCCCAGGACGGCGCCAACTGATATCTGTCACACCCGGTTGAGCCTGCCGAACCCCGTCAACCCCTGTCACCATGCTCGTACCCAGTGCCGATCATGGCCCGTCCTGTCACCCCTCCTCCACCCAGCCGAACCGGCCGACCCCCATCGACCACTGTCACCCCGATCGTACCCAGCGCCGACCTTGTCGCCCCCGGCCGAACCGCCGTGCCCCCGCCGTCAGCCGGCGGAGCACCCGTGCCGCACGCCAGCATCCGCATCTGGATTCATGACCGTGACATGGACAAGCTGGAGAAGGTGGTGATCGACGGCCACGGCGAGCAGCTGCTGAACGAGACGGCCGGCTCGGCGCGGGTCAACAAGTTCCTGGTGGCCGTCCGACCGATGATGGTGGGTCTTACCCAGGCTCGGGGCAGCCGCGTCAGAGTGCGGTGCCGGTTCTGGTCGGAACAGGGCTGATTGATGTTTCGTGTTGGGAAAGCCATCGTCGCGAACGGAGCACCAAACCGTTCCAACGCTTTTGATACAGTAGATGCGCTACAGCTGACGCTGAGGCAATGATAAAGGAAAAATTGTTTGTTTGTTTGCGCACATATAACACGTGTGATAGAAGACTGTTTAATGCTTCCGAAAGATCTGAGATATGCTGACAGATGAGTTATTACGTTCAACCCTGTATGCATTCGAAAAAGATGAGCCTTTACCCTTCTCGGCAAATATGGGACGCAATTCGTGTTCTACACTACCATCTCTGCTCTAAATGGTGTGATCCTCAGCTATTCTGTTCTACACTACAGATTCAGAGGCAGCAAATCGAAAGTTCATGCGGTGTATTTTTTGTCCCCACTTTACCTTCTCACAACCGATTTACGCACACAGATTCGGATCCGCGAGCTGCATTCATCGGCCATCAACGATGACCTTGACAAGGTCGAGGCCATGACCGAGGGTCAAAAGAACTTACTGACATCCAAAGACCGGCGAGGACTTACCATTCTGCATAAGGTGTGTGCCCATTTCAAAACCTGACCTCATGTGCTAGTGACAAGGGCTCAGCCCATTCAGCTAGTTCGCTAATCGTTTCCTGCTTGCCTTGCTTACCCTGCGCGAAGAGGCGGCATCGTTGGAATCGGCACAGCACGGCCTCAAGCCACAATACATTAATGACAGCTCAATGATGCACAGTGTGTCTAAATAAGTTTTTTTTTTTTGCTTACTTTTGGTGCCAGTGTCCATTTTCAGTCACCTAGGCATAATGGTGTCATATAAATCGCTGCTCCGGCGGTACGGCATGCTTTCTCAACCGCTTGGCATTTGCACACCTTGTTTGTCCTTGCATACACGAAAGGTGTCCTCATGCTAGCTGCCAAACATGCCAGCCTCTCGCGCGCTGTGCTGACGTTAGTACCGGAGGCGGGGGGCGGGGGGCGGGGGGGGGGGGCACGGGGAGAGAGATTAATGTTGTGGATTGTCACGAAAGTTGACCCCGCCGCGAGCCCCAACCTGGCGGCGATCCATGCAGCCGTCTGTCCTGAACGTCTGCCCAAGCAGTGCGCACGGACACGCGGTCGTACCCTCCTTTGGGTGTTTTCAAGCGGCTTCGGCTTGTTGCACCACGCGAAGAAGTGATGCCGTCGAGTTCCCGTTTACGTGGCGGTGCCAAGAGTGGACGCCGCTGGCGTCGGTAGCGCAGCCACAAACGACGTAACGTTCCTCATGTCTCAACAGCATGAAGTGGATCTCAGCTATCGCTGTTCATACATTCATGGGTCGCTCAGACAGATTGTCCAGGAAACGCTGTTTCACGGACCCATGACTTGAATCGATGTCGTTTAGTTTTAGCTTAGTCAGGTGGTGGCTCTCCTTTGCTCTGCCTGCGCGAAGAACATGTTGACTTGCAAGTTCATGATGCACAGTGTTGGGTGATGAGTTATTCTAAGCTTTCAACGCTTGCTCAGGGGGCAGTCCCCGGAGTGCGTTGACGCTGTACTCAGGGCTGTAGATTTGCATTATTTTGTGAGGGGCCCGGTTGGTTGTGGCTATGTATGTGCTTGTTGGTTGTCGGTTTGCGCTTCGAACATGGTTTTCTACATATATTACAAACAAATAGTTTGTCACATGAAATCTATGCCCGTTTGTGCTGTCTGGTTGACTGCAGTCAAAGTTTATTTTCCTTGGGTATATTGTACTGACCAAGACTACCGTGACATAAACGAAGCACTACAAATGGAAATTGCCGCTAGTCAAGTTGCAGTTGCTAAAGTAGCTGGTAAATACTCATTTGGTGGCGGCCAGGCTAACGGACGATCGGCTAGGCCGCCAATTATCTACAAAATGGACGCTCTCTGGTGATGTCCATTCTTGCTCCTCCAGCTTTGAGGCATGCTTTCGACGGCTCGGTCTTTGAAAACATGGTTGATCCTACATGTATACGAAAAGCGTCCCTGCTATGTGCTAAAACATATAGACCACTTCGTGCGCGCCGCAACCGGCATCAGTATCAGACGGGCGTGAATTTTTGTCATGGATCGTCACGAATGTTGACACAGTCCTATGTGCGAGTTTCACAGCAATCCGTGCCACCGCTGGTGCTGTCCATCTGGCTAAAAATACGGAACGCACAGACACATGCCGCAACTTTAATGTATTAGCTACAGCGATTGACAACATCTTAGTACGAAGCGTAGACCTTTACAGCCTTCACTGCCACCGAAATAAGAGGCTTGAGTGACGAAAAAAGCGACAGACCTGAGACGTTGTATCCTCGTAGGTAATGTCTTTACATTGTGCTTCGAATAATCGTGCATCACACCTGAATAGCAGCGGCAGTGGTGTATTGCAATACGTTGTTACATTACTTTCATGCGCAGGTTATGTTCGTTAAGGTCTACGTAGTGAAGGCATCTAAGAGGATATGCCATCCATGCAAAATGCTAGCTTTCACAAGTGGTTTCTTGCCATTGGCTTCTTTCTCCTGGGATGCGGATGCACCTGGTCATTTCAGAATCAAGTTGATACAGCCACGGATCACTGCACAGGCTTTCCCTGAAGCTTTTCTGTGCCGAGTCTCGTCAGTTATTTACACGTGCTTCCCACACCGCTTAGCCAATCCCTTGAAAAGTCAGCTACAACCTTTTCACGGCTTCTGTTTTCCACATTGTGAGAGTGACGGTAGTTTACTAGTGTCCACCTCACTGTTTGAGCTAGTCAGGTCTCTAAACGTGTTCGGCCGTGGGAGGAGGGTCGGAACTTTATCCTGCTCGTTCCGGTGCCTGATATGGCAGTCCTGATCAGCTCGTTGCGGCGCCTGATCTGACGTCCTGATCTGCTCGTTCCGGCGCCTGATCTGACGTCCTGGCCGACAGGCGGCGGCGCTGGGTCACGAGAGTGTGGTGCAGTACATGCTGTCCACGGTGCGGGACCTGAAGAACGAGCCCGACAACGACGGCCGCACGCCGCTCTTCTACGCCGCCGTCAGCAAGGAGAGCAGCATCTACGACATGCTGGTCAGGGCCGGTGCCGACGCCAGCCTCCAGGACAAGGTGAGGGGCTCGTCGCGGGACGGAGGCAGGCGGCGTGGAGGCAGGATCGTGGAAGGCCGCTGATGTTTGCGGGGGGGGGGGGGGGCAAGGGACCGTCCCACCTCGTGGCCGAATGGCAAGAGTAAAATCCGCGTCCAATTGTGCTGTGGTTGAGTCGTGAAGCACGTACACTGTTTCATTTGTTGTTACCTGACGGCCAGAGGGGGCGCGGAGCAGCCGTGCGCGCTCCCAGGCACCAAACTGACACGGGACGCGCTATACAGCCGGAAACAATACTCTCAATAGAATTGGTTCGCGAGACTTGGGTGATTCTGCGGACACACGAAAAGCCTTTACCTGTGGTGCTTGTCGGTACTCCGAGACAAAACCTATTTAAGCCAACCGCCGGCGGAGCAATTTTCGCATCTCGTTACGCTCGTAACAGCCTGTCGTCAGCGCACCATGCATTCCAAAACCCATACTTCACGAAGGAATTAATGATGCGTACATACACACGTAGGGCATCCTGCAGGAAGCTAATGCTCGCTTCTTCGCTCCTTCCTCAGCGGAACAAAACGGCCGACCACTACCGGAAGCACCCGCAGGAGCTGCCCATCCAGCATGTTTACCAGCTGCCGGACGCGCCGCGCAACTCGAGCGACAACCTGGGTGTGCCGGAAGCGGCCGGCAGGCGGCGCTCGCTGAGCACCGACCGACACCAGGGCGGCGGTGGCAAACGGTCCAACAGCCGCCGAGACCGGGTAAGGATACGTGCCCGAGAAGGCGGGAGAGGTCGAACAGCTGCCGAGACTAGGTAAGGACTCGTGCCACAGAGAGAGGGGGGAGGGGGAGCGCCGAACAGCCGCCGAGAGGGATAGAGGACGCGTGCCGGGGAGGGGGGGGGGGGGTCGAACAGCTGCCGGGACCAGGTAAGGACTCATGCCAGAGAGAGGAGGGGGTGGGGGCCAGACAGCCATGGGGAGCGGGTGAGGAAACGCGCAAGGCAGGAGCGGAGGCGCAGAGACAGGCTGAAGTCGCAGACAGTCGCAGAGACAGGCTGAAGGCAGGAAACAGAGGAGCATTAGGGGTCGGACAGCCGCAGAGACAGGGTGGTGAGAGCAGATGAGACGGAGAGGGGGCCACAGATCCAGATCCGGATCCGGAGCCACAGATCCACTGGCCGCCCGGACTGGGTGAGTATCTAGGACGGAGTCCGGAAAGGGGAAAATGATTGAAGAGACGTTACCAGACAGATAACCGCTTCCAGGCGTCCATTCCAGTTAGGACAGGGCTTAAGTGACCGCAGGTGACTGCAACATCGGAGCAAACGCTTACCAACAGATTGAGATGGGAAGGACGGGATTCAGTGATTGTAGCAGATTGATTCAGTAGTTGTATGGATGGGAGAGTTAGAGGAGAGTACGTCGCGTAAAACGCGGATGCGTCGATGGACCGCATGTTTACCGTGTACGTGCACCGCAGAGGCACAGGCCCCCTCAGTGACGGAAATCAAAGCCCATGCTTTGTAATAAGCGGCTGAAAGGACGTTGCTGTTCACTACACTTCGTTTGAAGGGCATTTGACTTCCGCTCTAATGCATCTGTTCTCCGTATGAAATGCATTCTGTTATCAGCGATTCACAATGCCTGTTGACACGAGAAGATAAACGTAGTCGCAGCCACGTTGCCCGGAATGTGCCAGCAATCTGTACTAGGCATCCTATCTTGGATCGATATGTAAATAAGACCAGCTACAAAACGCACCCAGATCGAATATGCATGTCGATTCACCCATATAAATCGCAGGTAGGGCAGCTCAGGCCCGGCCTGGGAGGCCAGCCCATCCCGTCAGTTGCAACAGACCCAGTCCATAGACTCAGGCGGGCCGGCGGGCCGCCGCAGCTGTGCCCGCCGTGTCCGCTCCACGCCTGACCGGCCCACCACACCAGGAGTCCACCACGTCCGAGCCGCCGCCCAGCCCGCGGCTCGACGAGAAGGACGTGACCTCGGCTCAGATCGACACCTGGATCCGCCAAGGCGACCTGGAGAAGCTGGAGCAGGTGCTGGTCGACGGGCACGGCGACAGTCTGCGCGGCAAAACGGCCTGGAACGAGCAGGCGCGAGGTATTCTCAAGGCGGCACCCGCCTTCATGGTGAGTGAGGGGCAGCATCAGCATCGCTGCCTCCGCGCTGTAACGTCCGTAGGCCGAGGAGACACGCCCCTGCACTGGAGCAGCGCATGGCCTGAGCTCCATCCCCACCCACCAGCCAGCGGGGCCGCCGGTCATGCGCCGGGGCTGCCGCGTCAGCGACTGCATGTATCAACCGTCCTGCTGGTGTCGCACGCTGCCGCCGATCCGGCCCGCCCCCGTCCCCTCCGTCACCGCAGCGCCGCCTCTCCCCGCCGCCCGCAGGAGCAGATCGCGGCCATACACATCGCGGCGGCACGCGGCGATGTGGCCGAGGTCAAGGAACTGGCGCGCATCAAGGGCCCCCACTCGAAGTCCGCCAAGCTGGTGCAGTCGCTAGACGAGCAGGGCCGGCTGCCGCTACACCTGGCCGCCTGGTACGGGCACACGCCCGTCATCCAGTTTTTGACCGAGCGCTACCCGGCCGGCGTGCATATCCTGGACAAGGTGAGTACGACGGGAGGAGGGGATAATCTGCCACGTGCACATTTGTCTGGTGGTGAGATATCCGCGAGACAAGCATGTCACATGTCCAATGAATATTAAATGTCAATAAAAGTACACATGACCAGCACACAAAGCACACGCAGCCATCACGTGCTGCGTTCCTCGTGCTTCACTCAAATTCACTTTTTTAGATGTATCCGTCACCTTCGTTTCACATTTATACTGGTCTAAAATGCTGGCGACACAATTCAAACCGACTTAGTTGTGGTAATCTATTTAGGAAGAATGAGCGCTAGCGGTACCGGGGCTTCGCAACTGGCAGCAGGCTTCAGCGTGTTTCACTGACGTCATGCACTCATTTATTCAAGAAGAAGGAATGTTTCACGGGGCAGTGACGTATCACAGCCGACAGCAGGGTTCAGCGTGTTTCACTGACGTCATGCATTCGCTTATTCAAGAAGGAAGAGTGCTTCACGGGGCATTGACGCACCGCAACCGACAGCAGGCCTTAGCGTGTTCCGGACTCACTTATTTAAGAATCAGGAGTGCTTCATGAGGCAGTGATGTATTGCAACCAGTGGCAGACGTTAGTATATCAACTTATTAGTTAGTTAGTATATCAACTTTAACTTTTTTTTGTCACGCTCGTTCAGGACTCGCGGGCGCCTCAGCATTATGCGGCCATGGCCAGCGATTCTAAGAAGGCCAAGAAGAACTACAACTACTTGATTGAAAAGGGTGGCAACGATAATGTGAAGGATTTGGTGAGTCCAGAGCACTGTCGGTTTTGGCTGCTCAAATGAAATTATACTCATCACTTGGACGAGCCAAGAAGAGAAGGTGGCTGGATGAGTGTGAAATGGAATCGTCCCCTAGAGAGCATGAGAATATTGATTATGTCACTCACTTTAAGAGCTGGCGTCGTTTTCCAGCTCCGTATGAACCGAGTCCCTCTCTCCCGACTCCGTGTAAGACTGTCCGTTCAGCCAGCAGTCGCCTGATCAGATCTCACACCTGAGAGACGGCAGATGACGGACGGGCAGAGCCGTATTCCCGGATCCGTTCCGAGAGCAGCTCAGACGATCCCCTGACGGTCCCCTCCGGGCGTCGGCAGCGCGGCAACACCGCCAGCTACTACCTGACCAACCCAGCGGACGAGTCCCGGCCGCCAACGCCCGAGAAGGGCGCTAAACTTCGGGAACGGAACAGGACCCAGGACCGCGGCCGGGACCAGGACCATGACCGGGACCGGGACCGGGACCAGGACGGGGGCCGGCGGTCGCGCGGGCAGTCACGCCACTCGCCGCGGCGAGGCAGCGACCGCGGAGAGGACGCGGACATCGATATGGACACGGTGGAGAGGATGCTGCTCACCGGTCGAGGCGAAGAGCTCAAGGGCGCCCGGTCAAAGGATCCTGATGTGCAGGAGCTGCTGGACTCTGTGCCGTATATCCTGGTACGTCCCACCGTCATAGGCTGCTTGTGTTTGCTCTTGGGGCGGTCTGGCGGGTTTGCCATGTGTCATGTTTGCTATCCATAGCAAACTGGCAACCAAAAACTCCACATTCGCACAAATTTTGACAACGGTCAAGTACAGTACTTCTGTGGAGCTCATTTGAACGACAGGTCAATCAGGTATTTGCCCTACCGTAAAGGCATGGCGTCAGTTTCCACCAACTCCGCTGAAAAGTCTCAACGAACGCCAACCCACTCTGGTGATAGATCTTCAAAGCTTAACTTTTTACAGGGCAAGATAGAGAGCGCGCACCGCGCGGCGGAGAGTGGCGAGACCCGCGACGTGCAGGCGCAGCTGGACCGCAGGAAGCTGGCCGGCTCGACGCTCAAGGATGGCGCCAATCCGCTGCACCGGGCCGCGTTCATGGGACACGCCGGTCAGTGAGATGTTCGGGGGACACGCCGGTCAGTGGGATGTTCGGGGGACACGTCGGTCAGTGAGATGTTCGGGGGACACGCCGGCCAGTGAGATGTTCGGGGGACACGCCGGCCAGTGAGATGTTCGGGGGACACGCCGGTCAGTGAGATGTTCGGGGGACACGCCGGCTAGTGAGATGTTCGGGGTTCGTTCATGGGACACGCCGGTCAGTGAGATGTTCGGGGGTGGTCGCTCATGGGACACGCCGGTCATTAAGATGTTCGGGGGTCATTCATGGGACATGCCGGTTAGTGAGATGCTCATGGGACACGCCGGTCAGTGAGATGTTCGGGGAGACGGCAGTTTGTGGAGCCTTCAGTGGTCGCGCCGGGCAGTAACGCGCACTTAATACCATCCATAAAACGACTCAGAAGAGAGTTGACAGTAGGCGGTGAAATATTCAGGGATCGAAATCAATGGAATTGCTCGGTTTTTGAGCCTCCTTCTGGGTGATGCATCTTCCACACCATTTCTGCGTCTATGCAAACCATGTATGCAAAGTATATATGCAATATATATATATATATATATATATATATATATATATATATATATATATATATATATATATTCTTTTGCGTTATTGCACTACTTTCGACTGTGTTCCAAACCGCAAAAGATAAGTTTTAACCAAGCACGAGACGTCGCTGAATGCGCCCAGCCCCGCTCCAGCACTACGGCACCAGTCACCTGCCCCCCCCCCCCCCCCCCAGGCGTTGTCCGCTACCTGGCGCAGAACTTCCCGGACACGATGGAGGCGGCGGACAGGAACGGCCGGACACCGCTGCATTACGCCGCCGGGAGCCGGGACGGCGGGCACTGCTACAAACTGCTGCAGAGAGCCGGCGCGCGCGAGGACGCCACGGACAAGGTCAGTCGGGGGTCACGTGTGTCACTGGGTCGTCGATGGCAGTTGTCTCGCGTCAGCGATCATAGCTAGCTGCATTAATGTGATTAGTCGTCTTACGGCGGCGATTTTCATCAGCTATCTTACGCCATTCTTTTACTATCTATTTTGCGCCAGCGCTTATTAGTTAGATTGCGTCATTAGTACAGGAGTTATTTTACGCCAGTGGTACCAGTTATCCCGCCCGTTGACATCAGGGTGGGGCCAGGAGTGCTGGGGTTTTGGGCGCATAGCTTGCAGTGACAGGCTTGCAGCGTGTAGGTCGCGTATAGCATGCAGTGACTTTGAACAAGGATCCAGCAGCGCTTGCTGCTCAGGTCGAACCCGCCTTGCTCGCTGTCCGGGTGCTTGTCGTGCGTGCCGCGCACCTACGCGCACTAGGTCGCGTGCCACGCATGGGGCCTGCGGCTGCGTCCGACGACACACCAAACCTCACTTTGCCTTGACCTACACCTCTTCAACAGTCTGATGGTAATGGCCGACAAACAGAAAACGTGAGAACTCGCCAGACTCCGCAGGGCGTTCGAATCAACCCAATGCATCAGGTTCCACCACGTTCGCCAGTGATCTCTGCTAACGAACATCCTTCCCATCCGAATGTCTGCATCAGTGTCACCAGCTGTCGCACCACCTCCCCGCCGACAGCACTGCCGCTGTGCCCACGCTGCTGTCGCGTTCACAGCGAGGCCGCGAGCCGCGGTACTACCTGGAGCACCGCGGCGCGCTCCGCTACACTTCCGTGGACCAGCAGACGGAGGACTACGCCGACTCCGAGGACGAGGCTGACGGTGAGTGAGCCGGCCTGGCCCGGCCCGGCCCAGCGGCCGCCGGCTGCCGGCCGTGCAGTGGGCCAGCCCCGGGGCCGGCGCGCGCTGCCTGGCTGATGATGATGCCGCAGTGCAACAGCCAGTTGTCCTCGACGCCGCCCCGCAGCTGAGCTCATGCTTGCTGGCTGTCGGGCTACAGATGTTGGCAGCAGGTGCTTAGACGAATGATGCGCGGGGATGACGTTTGCGGTGGACCTCGATGTGGCTGTATTGGCCCTTGTCTCTGGGGTTGACATTGTTGAAATATTTGCATTTGCTTTGTATGCAATGACTTATTCCGGACGTGGAAAGTGGAAGAGAGGTAACAACAGCCCATGCGTGGGTCACTGAAAACCTCGTGGGCTATCGTCTCCTGCCGAAGGCACCGCCATCTTGCTCTGCAGACTCCGACTGCCACGATCGCCAGATATTAAGAAAAAAACAGAGGCACCCGACGGTCACGATGATGACGTCATTGATGACGCTATTCCATCCATTACGCCATTGCATAAGCCCAGTAATCCACGTCGGATGGCTTAGAACAGGCCCACGACAGTTACAAACCTAGATGATGGCAAGTAAATAGACAAGAACATGGGCCGATGATGTGAGTGGTAGGATGTGAACGCTCTGCTAGCTAGTTTTTTTGTGAACATATCCTAGACACAATGAAATAAGATCTCACAAGAACTTGTAATCATTTAATTCCAGTGTGAGCCGATGGCACAGCAAACGTGGGTCACTGAAAACTGCCGAAGGGACAAGGCACAAGTGTTAACGCAAACCTGATTCTCAAGCCGAGTAGTACGCATACCATAACGCCGAACCGTTCGGAAGCCTCGAGTCATCCTACTGGATGAATTTGACGGCTGTGACGTCTCATGTTTCTAACGTGTTACTAGCACTAAATACGTTATGATCAGCAAAAAGCACAACCGAACTAGACGCCGCTTCGTTTCAAAGTGCGAGGAGACCTGACCTGACCTCTGTCTGCGTCGCCTGAGGTAGCAAACGATTGCGTGCGGACAGCCATCCTTCCCTGGATGCGAGGCGATCCTGCCAAAAACCCACCAAACAAAGCTTAGCATATAACTTTTCCGGGATCTACAGCGAGACAATTGAATATGGTATGAATACTGAGCAGTCAAAGCTGCTTAGAAAATGCAAAATATAGATAACGGAGTCGTTCACTGCAAATTACTATGGCCGCAGTTGTTACCATTGTTTAACAGTGTGAAGCTGCCTGGATAACATTAACTAAGCCCAGCATCACTGTCTTACCCCAGCATTGCCGACCTGGCCCTGACCTGGTCCAGCACCGATTACCTGACCTAGCACCGCTGACTTGACCCAGTATCGCTGACCTGACCCAGCACTGTTGGCCTTTTCCAGCACCGCTGACCTCTCCCAGCAACGCTGACTGTCCCAGCACCGCTGACCTGACCCAGCATCGCTGACCTGTCCCAGCACCGCTGACTGTCCCAGCACTCCTGACCTGTCCCAGCACCGCTGACCTGACCTATTACCGCTGACCTGATCAGCACCGCTGACCTGATCCAGCACAGCTGACTGTCCCAGCACCGCTGACCGTCCCAGCACCGCTGACTTGTCCCAGCACCGCTGACCGGCCGCCGTTTTCAGCCGGAGCCGGCGCGAGCCACCGCAGTCCGGACCGGCTGGGCGCCGGCTCGCGGCTGGACGGGCGGCGCGCCAGCATGGACGAGCACGGCTCGCGCAGCGTCAGCCGCGCCTCAGCCGCGCCCGACATCGAGTTCACCGAGGACGCCAGCCGAGACGAGGTGGACGAGATCGAGCGCGCCTTCGAGACGCTGCAGCGCTCCTCGTCCAAGTCGCTGCTGCGCAAGCACCTGACGCGCGATGTGCTGGAGCAGGTGAAGCGGCGCCGCACGCGCCATGGCGCCACGCTGATGGATGTCATTCGCTCTGGCGTGGCCAACCTCGACTCGGGCGTGGGCGTGTACGCCCCGGATGGCGACGCGTACACCGTGTTCGCGCCTCTCTTCGACCCCATCATTGAGGAATACCACGCCGGCTTCGGGCCGGCCATGCGCCAGCCGTCCATCTCCTTCGGCCACCCGAAGCAGCTGCCCAAGGTGCTGGGAAACCTGTCGCGGCTGGGCAAGTACGTCATCAGCACGCGCATCCGAACGGCGCGCAGTCTGGAGCAGTTCCCACTGAACCCGCTGATGAACGAGCACGACTATCTGGACCTGGAGTCGGAGGTCAGCCAGGTGTTGAAGGACCTCAAGGGCGACCTCGCAGGTACTTACTACCCGCTGGACGGCATGAGTGCTAAGGACAAGAAGCAGCTCATCGACAACCACTTCCTCTTCAAAGAGGGCGACCGCTTCCTGCAGGCGGCCAACTGCGTCGCGCCATTGGCCCAAGGGCCGCGGCATCTTCCACAACGAAGCCAAGACGTTCCTCGTCTGGATCAACGAGGAGGACCACCTACGCGTCATCAGCATGGAGCAGGGCGGCAACGTGACCAGCGTGTACGCACGCCTCGTCACGGCCCTCGTCAACCTCGGCAAGCAGCTGCGGCTGCGGCGCGACCGCCGACTCGGCTCTGTCACATTCTGCCCGACCAACCTGGGCACGGCCATCCGCGCCTCGGTGCACATCCGGCTACCGCGGCTGGCGCGCAACCCGGCGCAGCTGGAGGCGGCGTGCGCGCGGCTCGGCCTGCAGGTGCGCGGCACGCACGGCGAGCACTCGGAGAGCGAGGAGGGCGTGTTCGACCTGAGCAACAAGCGCCGCCTGGGCCTCACTGAACTCGACGCTGTCACCGAGATGTACCGCGGCGTCTCGGAGATCATACAGATGGAGCGCGACGCCAAGAAGTAGTGGGCGCCGGACGGCGGGGTGCGGACTCTGGGCGGCTGTGGCGGCAGCGACGACCGGTACGCGTCGAATACCGACAACGGCACAGGCGCGGACTGTGGGTACCTAGGAGAGATGAATGGGGGCGCTGTAGAGGACGCGCGTGTGGTGATGGTGCCTCGCTGGCGAACGCGATGAGGGAAAGGGTGTGATGCATGACTGCGCACGGGTACGCCGTTGGGGCTTGCACCGCCCGTGGCGTAGACCGCTGGAGTGGTAACGGATGCTGGTCGTGGTCGTTCTCAAGCGGTCATAGTTTTCGCTGTAGTACTGTTGATCCGAGGAGTGGATGGTGGCGACCGGGAGCACCCTGCAATAACCCATGTGCGTTACCCTGTTGACGCCAGTTTCGTTTTGGCCCCTCGAAGATGTGGAAGGTATTGGGTCATTTGTGTACTGTGAATTTGCGTGTTAAGTTCTTGAAGGTGTATAGTTAGCGTGAGCTGGAGAAAGGCACAGAAACCTGTCCTCGCATAATTGTGAAGCCTATATATATATATATATATATATATATATATATATATATGTATATGTCCTGTGGTATACTCATAGAAGCTCTGCTTGTGTGATATTTGGATGGCACTTGGCGTTAAGAGCATACATAAACATTTCACGCAAGGGTAATCACTTCGTTGTAAACGCAAACAGCAACCATCGCTAATTTCTCGGACGAGAGACTAACGATGAGTTGAGATCGAGGGAGGGTGCGGAACTTCTGATCGTTTAGCTCATTGTTAGGCAGTGTCATCTGCAGTTTGGTTATCATTCTCAGCTGAATGTCCTGCGCTGTTAGTCTACGTGCTTGCTTGTCTTGTCGCGTGGCTTACATAAGGGTATGCGTCCAACTGACGCCTCAGTTCTCTCAAGGTGTAGAGAGCGATATCAACGCAACGGTCCCCGTGCTATACGCATACACGCTGTTGCTCGTTTCGGCACTGAGATGAGCGGCATTCCGAAGGGACTCCTTGGAGTCGATTGGCGTGAAGAGCGTGGCACTGCAAGGCAAGAGTGCCGTCTGACAGTCAATTGATCGATTTTGGAACGCCCCTGGACCGACCAAATTACGATCTTGTACCGTGCTTGACTGATAATAAATCGACAGGCGGTCGGCATGATTTTGTTCGGAGCTATGTCACGAGGATGACCCAAACCGTGATTACCATGGGCAGTAATTAACCCCAGATGTCGCGGCTGACCGCTGTCTCGGAGAGGCCCGTGTGTAGCATTACCTCCCGCGCTGAGCGGACGGGAAACAAGCCGCCGACACAGGGCGTTCAGGTCAGTGCACTCGTGCAGCCGTGCGTGATGATGCAGCGCTCGTGCGCTGGTGCAGCTCACCGTGCACTCCTCACTAGCACTTTGCAGTCCCGAACGAAGTGCAACGGCCCAGGTGGCACTGCTTTCCGAAGTTGGTGGCTTGTTTTTCGCACCGCTCGTAAGGTTCGCCTCCCAGACACGGGCGGCCTCGCCGGTTGCGCCCTTGTCTTGCAGTGAATGGTGTGTGATGCATCTAGCTAGTTGTTCGGAGTCGAAGCATGGCGTTTGCAATGTCTAACTTGAGTCGGTGAAGGTGGTAGTCCTGAAGACCGCCATCCTGCCTTGGGTTTGAATCGAAGCCGACGGGTTTAGTAAATGTCTGTACTGTCTTTACTACATTCGGATCTGCCTAGCTCACTTAAGAATAAATAATGACCGTAGAAAAGCTCAGCATGCCCCTTTAACTTAGTCGAAATTTAACGCCGGTAATCCAGTGCGTAGATAAATGTATGCTGTATGCACCATTAGATTGGTTTTCCTGTAACCCTCCGCCTGTTATCTACTGGATTTTGGGCATACCCTCCCGCTGTTCATCAAAATCGAACCGCTCACCAGTTTACAGTCCACTCTCCATTTGCAACAGCGTGGTCTCATAGTTCCCTCAACAGTGGCGACCACGCGCTAACCCACTCTGGTTGCATAATCATGATTTCACCCGATATGTTGACGGCCTCTTGCCAGCGTCATTAATGCATTGCATTGTGTGACGAAGGGCTAGGCATGAATCTAAAAAATTAATTGTTTAGTACGGAGGCTAACAAAAAATGACCCCTCGTTACTTGAAGTTAAGCGCACAAAACGCCAGGCCGTTCGCAAAAATATTTATAAGTCTAAACCAGCATGTTTGCATTTCGCTACCAATGAGACGCCTGGCAAGGTGTCGATGCGTATGGTAACGAGCGAGGTGGCACAGACGTGGCGTTTTCCCAGTGTGCACGGTGTCCAAACCTAGGCGAAAGGGGCCAGATACCTGCGGGATCCCGTACAGCGGCGTTTGATGATCACCGCATTGGAATGCCTATTTTGTGCGGGGTTTAGGCCCTGGAGGGGTCGCCACGCAACATTGGCCGATCACGTGGCATGGCAGCTGGCTGGCAGGAAATCTGGCAGGGTTAAACAGATTAAATAGCAGATTATGATCGTGACACATCTCGAAAAAAATAATTTGAAAATATCACAATGTACCACCTGAGTCACCAGTGGGCGGTACAGGAAGCCCTTCATCAACGTTCTACGATATCTGTGCTACCCACAATGAGTATGATATATTCGTAATGGGTGCCTGCGAGTACGTGCCGCGAGAAATGACGGACAGGCTTATAACAATGTGCCAAACTTATGTCCATTGTATGAATGGTACCATGACATTTCGAACTACATCTATGTAGGCAAGAGAGCACCAGAAAGCCAAATTCGTGACGGTGCATGTCATTAGCACCAAATCATTAAAAACGCTTTCACCAAGGCTTTGTTCCTTCGTTAAAAATGGCGGAGCCCGGTTACCGCTGTATGAATGACGTCACCCTAGTAAAAATAAAACCTAGTTGCGCACCTGCGAGAGCGGAAACAAATAAATAGCTGTAGTTTTCGAGCTTAAAACATTGATGTGCATGTTAAACATGTAACAGGTGTGCATGCACCTACAATCGAGTGCATGATTGTGTTTTGTGTGTGGTGTTGTGTGTGTGTGTGTGTGTGTGTGTGTGTTGTGTGTGTGTGTGGTGTGGTGTGTTGTGTGTGTGTGTTTGTGTGTTTGGTGTGTGTTGTGTGTGTGTGTGTGTGTGTGTGTGTGTGTGTGTGTGGTGTGTGTGTGTGTGTGTGTGTGTGGTGTGTGTGTGTTGTGTGTGTTTGTGTGTGTGTGCGTGTGAGCAAGACGTCATGTGTAAGCGATGTTTGGGCTCAGAAAATTGACGGCTTCATTGACGCATTGACAAAGAGTTTGTGTGATGTGAAGAGCTGGAGCTACTGAAGATCTCCCTACAAAATGTGTAATGTGACCCCCAATGTCGCTCATTTCGTGTATTGAATTCTGCTTTCATTTCCGACAGGTACCGTAATGAAGCCGAAACCTGTGCGAAAGAAGAGGAGCGAAGGCCCTCAAGGGAAAGAAGACGGAGGAAAACAGGGGGTTAAAGGGAAGGGTAAGAAGCGTTCACCTGGAAGCATGACAACCGAGGAGGGAAAATATCTGATGAAAGGTCAGTAATGCGCCAGGGGACCCTGAGCCCCGTGCCACCTCAAGGTCATATTGTGATGCATGTGATAATGCACGGATGACAGACGAATAATGTGTGAAAGATGATGCGCTAATGCATGATGTAGATGTTAGGATATGATGTATGTAAATGACTGATGTTAGATCCAGATAGATGCGTGATGATTTAGAAGTAAAGATGCATGATGATGTAAAATGTATGAAAAGATGCAAGATGGTGTAAGGTGTGGGTGAATATGTATGCAGATGCATAGTGTATGCTTGATGTACGATGCAACATGTACATGATGAAAAATGTATAGAGGGTATGATGATGATGTAGATGATGTATGACGATGATGATGTATGTATATGCACATGAATGATGTATGATGTCCGCACGCATATATGCATGTATGGCGTAGGGTATATGCGTGGTATATGATGTGTGTGAGATGTATGATGTAAGAATAGATGATATATGATGTTTGCACCTATGATATAAATTATGCAAACGAGATCCTCCACGCCGCGTGTGCAGCAGGCCGAGTTGGCCGCCTCCCATGCATGGCCGCGTGTGCGGCAGGCCGAGTCGGCCGCCTCCCATGCATGGCCGCGTGTGCAGCAGGCCGAGTTGGCCGCCTCCCATGCATGGCCGCGTGTGCAGCAGGCCGAGTCGGCCGCCTCCCATGCATGGCCGCGTGTGCAGCAGGCCGAGTTGGCCGCCTCCCATGCATGGCCGCGTGTGCAGCAGGCTGAGTCGGCCGCCTCCCATGCATGGCCGCGTGTGCAGCAGGCCGAGTCGGCCGCCTCTCATGCATGGCCGCGTGTGCAGCAGGCTGAGATGGCCGCCTCTCCCGCACGGCCGCGTCTAGCAAGGCGCAGCAGGGATGCGTCGGGAGCAGCTCCTAATGAAACCGCTTGACTGGGTATCGCACCCACCCGTGATGCGCTCCCATTGGCTGCTTTTAAAACCACCGCGCTGGTATCGCCAGCTTGTGGCGATCAATGCCGATGTCACTTGGGGTCAATGTTGATGGCATAAAAATGGTTAAGACCGCGGCACTCGCAAGGTCGGTTCTGCCTTCACACCGGGCACAGCAGGCGCCTCGCCGCATTATAGTAGAATACATATATATATATATATATATATATATATATATATATATGCGTGCATATGTATGTGTATATGTAACGATATATGTATATATGTATCTACACACACACGCACATATATATATATATATATATATATATATATATATATATATATATATATATATATAAATATACTTATGCGTGTGGCCCTCAATAATTATTATGTGCAGACTTTTGACCTGATCGTCATGATAACGAGTCTGTCGAAAATTTTCGACCACGGCGCTGCTTATAGCGATGGCAAGTAATGTTCTGTGATGTTGTTCCTAGCTTTTATTTCCGTGGCTCTTGACCTCACGTCATGGTGCTAGGCCGGTGACTTACGCTTAAACGTTTTCCCTCACGTCACTTGGTGAAGTCGTGGTACATGTCATGTATCCGAAATGAGCATTTGCATCGCGTATTTTGCTGTCCAATGTCATTGCATTTAAGGAGGAGTATGCTATTTTTCAGCATACTTATTTGGAAAAAGCATTTTGGTAAACCCTAAGGAGCAGTTGTGCTTAATGATTTTGTCTACTATATGTTGCGCTACAGCATATAAAAAACAAACAAATATGGTGATGCGTCGTTCAAATTGCGTCATCAACGTTTCGGCCCTACACTTCTTAATTACTTTGCAGCTCCAGATCGCATTTCTGGAATGGGCGACCTTGGCGCATGCAAGACATTCAAGCAAGATATTTATTGAAGCTCTCGGGACTGTACGCGAGGTTTTCACGTGGATCTGGTCCAAAATTGGCATGAAAATTGGCATGATAAAGCGGGGTGGCGTAGCATATTTTGAATTGGGAGCTATTGCCAAGGATTTCTAGATAACAGGCGTTACGAAAAACAATCAGGCACATCTTATCTAGTTATGAGAGAAAAGTAAAAAAAGGTGGGGCATTGCCTTTCAACAACGACTTAACCACGTGCAGGTATGTCGCACACCGCGAACACGTTGCACTGCACAAAATCACAGAACCGGGGCTCCTGCGATCGGCGCCGGCCTGTGTGACGTGACGAACCCGTGCCGGCAGAGGTGGGCGGCCCGCTGACCGAAGCGCTGAAGGCCGTCTCGAAGCAGAAGCCGCGTGACCCGATCAAATTCATGGCGGCGCTGCTGTACCGGCGGGCGGCGGATGGCGGGCGCTCGGCCGCGCTGAGCGCCGCCGAGCCGCCGCTGGCCGGTTCCGACCTGCAGACGCTGCTCCGCCGGGTCAGTACGCCGCCCACCCCCGGGCGGGGACCATTGGGTCACCGGCGGCGGCCCGCGGCGCCAGGCACTTTGAAAAAGATCATACGGTTCGGTGTCAAATGCAACACATACCGTATTCGTTTCGGCGTAGCATTGTGATAATGCGAGGGAAGGAGCGTAATGAAATATGTGGATCAAAACGCATTTTTAGCTCAATGATTTCCATTATTCACCTTAGCAAATTCACGGCAAGTGGATGAGCCGTGGGTGGGCATGCTCCATATTTCCACAACTGTGCCGATTTAAGAGCCGTGCGGCTCTGCAACAGAGTTGGCCTCACTAGTCTGATGGTGCGACATTCGTATTTCGTATTAGAGGAATCTCCATCGGCACGGGCCGCCTGACGACCCCTCCCCTCCCCTCCCCTGCCGCGGCCGTCGTGCAGGACGACCGCGGCCGGTCGATCCTGCACTTCGCCGCCGAGCGGTCCCACCCCAGCCACGCCCTCGGCCGCCTGCTGGACCAATCGGCGCTGAGCCTGGCCGACCGGGACGAGGCATACCGGACGGCGCGGGACGTGGCGGCGGCCGCCGGCCAGCACGAGAACGTGGCCGCGATCGACGCCTGGCTGACCGGCCTGGCTGCCGCCGGTGAGACAGCGTCCAGCGCAGCCGGCGCTGGGAGGTAGTCACCCTGGCAACATCAGGCCACCAACGAGGGGGAAATTCAACACAGCTAGGAGCAGGGGCGGATCTAGATTTATTGGGGGCGAAAACCGTTCTTGAAGATTAACATTTAAAACATCTAGGGACTTTTACACCCATACACAGGTACTCTGATATATATGGCACCACGTATATATGTCATATATATATATATATATATATATTGATATAGATATGTAGATATATAGATATAGATGGATGGATAGATAGATATATGACATCACCCCGGTTTGGTGGCTTGGGGTCAGGTCGCTGTGTCGCGCGCGAAACGGCTGTGTCCGGGAAGTACGACAATCTGTGAGCCGCAGGCAAAGATTGACAATAAAATTAACAGGTCGCTAGGGCATAAAGTCAACAGAATAGCGGGTCCCTCACTTCCCGAAATTGCGATGCAATAGTGGGTTAAAGAGAATGTCCCAGCTTTGGGACATATTTCAAAGACATATTCGGGTGATACTTTAGGACTAGTTACGCCTAATAATAGCACTTGGTGGTTCCACTGCAGTTCTGTCAAGAGATAATAAGGATATCAATTCCTATCGTTTTCCAGCCCAAATTACGCTGCCAACGCTTTGTAACAGCACTACGCTCCTTCGCTGCAATCGTGACCACCGTCGTCATGACAACCACCGTGCGCACATCTACTGCTGGGAATAAAAGAACGTTTGTGATTTGCCCAGCGGGCGAGGGCCTGTTACCGAGAGGCGTGTTGGTTGAAGCCTGAACCAGTGCGTTACATGGATCATTAGGTGCTCTCCTTCCGAAAGCCCAAGTGTGCCTCAAACGAGCCACTGCGGTAAGCGCAACAGGGGAGAAATAAAAGGCAAAGTATAACGTTTCGTTGAATTTGCAGGATAACATAAACACAGTGTTGCAAGCTTTCGTAGCATTTATTACACATACATTTTGACACCATAGGGCGTGGCAAACATTATAAAACACACAAGTTGGGAAAAGCAAGGAAACTGAAATTCCTTTCTTTCATAGTGAGAGATTTATACTGCAGGGCCAGCTACTTCAAATCAAAATTCTGAGCTATTCGAAAGGATTTCGAAAAAGCCAGTATTTTACCAAATCGTTCACGTCTTATGTAACAATAAGCGAAAAGTACAGAAAGGTGGGGTACTCCCTTTATTCCACCAGCAACGAGCTGCTCATGCTAAGCCCGCAGCCGTCGTAAGCTGCGGATTCGCGTTGACTGCTGACACAGTTGATTGCTCTAACAGCAGAAAAACGAGAACTTTATGTAATATTGAGAGTACTTCCCTCTAATATCGCCCAACAAGCGTAAGGGGAGCCCAAAGCAATACTACTGTTCTAAATAATTGTGTCATGAATTTATCTGAGTTTAACTATGCGTGACTACTTTCTAGGTCGCAGGCGATATCTGTTGACGAAACTATTTAGTTGGCGGACAGTTTACAAATATTGCCTTTCCTCGAAATCGCTGGCTGCAATGCGTAAAATGGTCGTACAAAACGTATATTGCCGCATAGACACCAATCGTAATGCCGGAAGTCCAACCTCGGTACAGTGATGAAGTTACTCTTTCCACATTTGTGATGAGGCGAAACGCGTGGTGGAAAGTTCGCCTTTCAGAGTAAAGGATCGTGTATGACTCATTCAATTTTGCTGATGAACTGAACCAATAATCTAAACTAGCGATGCCGCGCAGAAAAAAAAACATGTTGGCCTATTTTATTCCTCGTCATACCTTGAAACCATCAGACCAGGGACATGTGACCCGTGTAGGTTGACCAGTGGGACCCGGTCCTCGTATCGCCAGTACGACAGCGGCTGGAGACCTCGGGTGAGCACAGAAACTTCAACTTGTTGGAAATGTCCGCCGCTAGGTGTTAGCAGAGAGCCAACACCGCAGGGCCCCAGGAAGCTGTAATATCGGGCGTCGGTGTTCTCTCACCTGAACTCTGCGCGCTTATGCATAAAACTGGTTTATGTAATTTTTCGATCATAATTTTTTTTGAAAATGAGCTTTCTCGGGCAAAAAGGAATGTGTGTGTGTGTGTGTGTGTGTGTGTGTGTGTGTGTGTGTGTGTGTGTGTGTGTGTGTGTGTGTGTGTGTGTGTGTGTGTGTGTGTGTGTGTGTGTGTGTGTGTGTGTGTGTGTGTGCGTGTATCTAGGCGTGGGTGTGGGTGGGTGTGTGGGTGTGGGTGTGGGTGCGGGCGTAAGTGTGCATTACATACACATTATATTTTTCGCCCTGTTTCGATCAACGCTAGCGTTCGATCCACGGGTGCCTCACAACTTTGTAAATCCCCGAGGAAATCTTACAGTAACTCGTGGTTGATTATTTAGTTGTCATTTGGTCATTTATAACAAATGACTATTGTCATTTGATATGAATATCCGCATAGTACGCCGAATTGAGCCATACAGTCGTTGAGATCATGTGATATTACGTTTAGGACACCATTTCGATGGCAAGGGAGCGTGACTCCTCACGTGCATAGAGCGTTTTTCTGGCGTCGACTGTGCCTGTCCATAGTAAGCCTGACGCCTGCGCCTGCCATCACGCGCCTGACACCTGAGCCTGCTGGCCGCCAGGCAACACGGCACGCCTGGAGCAGCTTCTGCTGGGCGGCTACGACCGACTGCTGGGTGCCGAGAACGCTGACCGTGCCAACATCCTACATGTGGCCGAGCAGGAGGCCGACGCCACTACCGCTCGCTTCCTGCGCGGCGTCTTCGGCTTCGAGGTGGGCGGCGGCGTACGGCCAGGGCCGCGACGAGGAGAGAGCTGGGAGTGGGGCGCGGGGTGTCGGGAGGCTGCCCCGGGGACTGAAGCTGCGTGAGCCTGTAAGGGTTTGGGGAGTTCGGAGAGGTCCTTGGGAGTCTGGGAACAGCTGATAACAACGGAGGCTGTGACTACCACTATCCGTGGGGCTGGGGAAGGGGAGCGCTGTGGGAACTTAGGCAGGGCTCGGAAGTCTAAGAGGCCTGAGTCTGGGACCGGCTGTGACCATAACCATGTGGGGGACATCGCAAGGCTGGGGAAGGGGGGGGGGGAGAGAAAGGCATCGAATGTTCGGTGATTTACGGAATGGCTATGACAGTTTGGTATTCTCCACAAGGATAGTCTGAGAAAGCAAAAGCCTGAGCTGGAATGCAATGAGCCGGGGAAGAGCTTTGGGACTCCAGCGTCGACTGAGAGTTTGGCCTTATGTCATGCTAGTTTCACGCGTGCACGTGTGGCACTCGCGAAATGTTCGCAAAAGTTCGTCACCTGGGTACCGGCAGCTGGTGCAAAAGCGGCACCAGCTGTTACACAAAGGTATGCAGCCTGGCGGCTATGAGACTGCCAGGAAAATTTTGGGCCCAAGTTAAGACAATGAACCCCGGCATTAACGCTGGCACTGCAAGTTTTAGGGACTCCCTCATCTTTAATGTGCATCAAGTAGACAGAACATTAACGAGAATCAATTTTCAACACACCAACAACGACATACTCAACCCGCTTGCTTAATTAAAGAAAGCAACGGGAGTATTAATGCCATACTGGCACTTAACAAGTAACGCCGTTGTCAGGGGAGACACGGTGCTCTTTCTTTCTCTCTTTCTCTCTCTCTCTCTCTCTCTCCCCTCCTCTCTCTCTCTCTCTCTCTCTCTCTCTCTCTTCTCTCTCTCTCTCTCTCTCTCTCTCTCTCTCTCTCTCTTCTCTCTCTCTCTCTCTCTCTCTCTCTCTCTCTCTCTCTCTCTCTCTCTCTCTCTCTCTCTCTCTCTCTCTCTCTCTCTCTCTCTCTCTCTCTCTCTCTCTCCTCTCTCTCTCTCTCTCTCTCTCTCTCTCTCTCTCTCTCTCTCTCTCTCTCTCTCTCTCTCTCCTCTCTCTCTCTCTCTCTCTCTCTCTCTCTCTCTCTCTCCTCTCTCTCTCTTCTCTCTCTCTCTCTCTCTCTCTCTCTCTCTCTCTCTCTCTCTCTCTCTCTCTCTCTCTCTCTCTCTCTCTCTCTCTCTCTCTCTCTCTCTCTCTCTCTCTCTCTCTCTCTCTCTCTCTCTCTCTCTCTCTCTCTCTCTCTCTCTCTCTCCTCTCTCTCTCTCTCTCTCTCTCTCTCTCTCTCTCTCTCTCTCTCTCTCTCTCTCTCTCTCTCTCTCTCTCTCTCTCTCTCTCTCTCTCTCTCTCTCTCTCTCTCTTTCTCTCTCTCTCGCTCTCTCCATATCTGGAACAAGAGCCTCCTGTCTCATAACGGGGGTCTCCCGGTCAATAACGGGTCTTCCTAGTTCATAACGGGTCCTCTTCGTTCAAAATGGGACCCTGTTAGTTCATAACGGAGCATCTAAGCTCAAAATGGGGGCCTCTTTGTCCATCAGGTGGCCCCCTTGTTCCTAACAGATACCTGCGAAGCCTGTAGAGGGCCTCCTTGACACAAAATTGGGTCTCCTGATCTGGGGCATGGGCTACCTGACCTCATTGTCCATAGAGCGGACCTCTGGATGTTGACGAGTTTTCTAGCCCAATTTAGCCTCCACTAGCTCAGCTATGACAGCCTCGATTAGAATTTGGATGATTCATGTGAGCCTTTGTTTAAAATGGCCTCCCAAAGTTTTCTGCCTGCCGAAATGGGGGTTGGGGTAGCTATCCCACTAGCCACCCTCTCCCCGGTGCGCCGTGTCAGCATGTGAGACTAGTGTTGAGTACGTATATGATGCCAGCAATTCTGACAACTTCGTGTGGGCCTGACGTTCAACATATTGATGGCGCACCCTACGAAATGGAACAGCAGTCGGGTCTGGACTGAGAATGTAAGAGGAACGACGAGCGTTACAGAAAACAGACACTTCGTTTCTGTGATGTGATTTACAGAGCAACAGCGCATCTCTGCACAGCTAGTATGATAATGCCAGGGTAGGATTGACATGGTACGGTGAATTGTCAATCCCCGTTCTACGGACGATCCCACGCCTCCACCACACAGTCGTGGGTGTTTTGCGATAATCACTTACGTGGTGTTTGTGGATAATCACTGTTGTGGTGGTGTGATAATTATGTGGATAATCACTTATGTGGTGGTGTTTTGCGATAATCACTTATGGAATACAGCATCTGGACAAGATACAAATGCATTCCACATTTCGTTGGCTGGTCAGGATGTCGTTCTTCATGTTAAATTTAACGTTTAACGGGTGCATACGGAACGCTTTATTCGTACATGCTTCGCGTGTCTGATGGTCTCCATGCGACAGTTTCGCGGTGCCGGTTTGCTTGTCATTAATTTGAATTGTCCTGAACTCGGCTGATGTTTCCAGTCATACTACTTAATCCAGTAGAGGACGGTGCCAGCTGTGGGACAGAGGCCCTTGACCCAAGGGGTTTTAACTGGCTCTTGGGGGCCATTGTCGTAAGCCACCAGTGTTCCGAACCACCGTCTGACTTCAGTGGAAGGTGTCATAGTTAGAAGTGGACGGCGTTCTGCAGTCACGTGAGCCTTGTTTATACGGGGCACTATTAGATTGAAGGCGTCCGATCCTTGCGGCCAGCTGCCGTACCGATGGGCTAAGTAGACACCTTTCCTTTGATCCCTTGTTGACATGAGCCTGTGCGTCTTTGGCGACACAAACAATCCACCCCACTGTCTACGCCTTTGTTCTGATTTTCCTTCGATCCGGTAATGAAATTTCGTTTCATCGTTCAAGCTTTTGATATGGTCACCCCAGCTCAGTATGGAATAATCATGAGTCAGTGATGGGGTCATATGGTTTCTTTTGCCGATGTTCGCCAAAGTCCAGCCATAGGACGAGGCTGATGTCAGCAAAAGCGTCCAACCACCACCGTCATGCGTGAAGTCACAATAAACTGGCATGGTCATTCCGCTGAACATGTAAACACCATCTTGATGTTTTCCCCCTTGCGCATTCAGCTCACGACATGATCGCGCACACGCTCTCTTCCCGCCAAATTGATTTGCTTTGGAGTTTTTTTCACACACCTTATCAGGGTCACACGCTTTTTCCATCTTAGTCTTCATTGACGATATCTGCGCGGTAAATGAGCGCTCCAACTGTGTAAGCAAATCATCCAGAGCATTCTCGTCTTTACGACTTGCACCATGACGGCATCTTCGAAACTCTTCCAGCCACGACAGGTAATCGGAGAGTTCAGATTCATGCTTGTATGCGCCTCGTAATACCCATGACGAGCGTACAGCTGAACATGAGTTTCGTATTGCACTCTTTTGCCCAGCAAATCCCTCTTTGAATGTATTGCGCAGCTTTTGAACTACATGCCTGCTGTTAACATGGGCACGAATACCTCCACTGACAAGAACGAGGCTAAGAATAAAAGACAAGAAATGCATGGCTGTGCTCGTACACGGAAGATCTGAATTTTCAAAGCCGAAAATCTACTCGCTGGTCACTTTGAAGTTTAAAAAATAGGCGCCATGACCACTGACTTAAACATGCAAGGTAAGGACTATGACGCGCGCTAGAACCACGAATATCTACGCCATGTAACTTCGTGCCTTTAACAAAAAGCTTACAGCGTTTAAAAGTCTAAAAGTAAGAGTATTGGGCTTCGGATTTCCCTGTCGCAGACTATCTTTTTAAACATGCGTCTGCTAGCAATTTAAACGGCTGTTTTACGAGACAGAAGCATGTGAAATAATTTCCAAGCCACCATCATTTGGAGGGATCCGGAGCTCGAACACAATTATAATGTGCTAGGACGTCGACCGATTGAAATCATACGCATGCACCAAATAATCTTACTCCGGGAACACAACGTGTGTACCCGAAACACATCTTGGATATGCCTGCAATGCAGCGTATGTCCGGGATCGAAATGTGTTGATCCTGGTGCTTTTCTAAGTTTTCAACTCCGGACGGATTGCAGAAGTCGTAGTATAGCACGAAGGCCTTAATGGATCACATGGAGTCAGTTTTAAAGCTAAAAACTACCTTCCGTGCCTGAGAGGCAGCTTTGCTAGCTGACCCCCAACCGATTTGAAAAAGTGAGATTCCTGCCTGTTAGCCATAAAAGTTGCTTCCTAAGCTGAGAAAACTGACTCCAGTTTTGCAACACGTGACCCTTCAAGACTATCGTGCGATGCCAAGGCTCTTGCAATTCGTTCAAAGCTGAAAACATATACAAAGCTAGCAGGATCAATGCGCTTTGATCTCGAACATAACATCATTGCAGACATATCCGAGATGCGTTTTGGGTGCACACTTTTTGCTCTGGCGATAGGATAATTTGATGTATGCGTGAGAAGGATTTCAACCAGTCGTGGTTGCAGTCGTTATATTCCCATACAAACTTGGAATTGCTCCGAATGATGGTGCCATGGAAATTCGCTCAGATGCTCCTCCTGGTAAAAATACCGGTGCAAGCTGCTAGTAGATATCTAGTTGTAGTAGATAGCTAGTTGTTATAAGGCCTTGGTAGATACTTATTTTTAAAGAGATAGCTTTTGTCAGGCAAATTCGAAGCCTCACACTTTTTCTGCTAGGACTTCAACCATTGTAAACTGTTTGATAAATACATAACCTTACATGGTATCTGTCTTTGTGGTTTTGGGTGCGCCATGGTCGTTGCCTCACTTGGTCCTGCCCGATACAGTGTATCGATTATTGTTGAGAAGTAGAAGGTTGCAGAAGTTGAGGCCAGCGATATTCACGGGCATTGCTTGAGGCAGTGGTCATAGCACCTATTCTTCAATCTTCAAAGTGACTTACGAGAGGCTTTTCGGCTTGGCGAACTCAGAAC